ACTCCAACTTTGTCACTTATTTCGATGCCACTTTCATATCTCACATCGGCCTGAGCACATAGACCGGCGACCTACTGGCTGCAGCCTCAGCATACATCCCGAGCTCACCTCTCCCCTGACCATACTGCCCCGGAAATTCAGAAACCATCGAGCCTATTCAACCCTATGCTGCCTGCCAGCCAATGCACACATCGCTAGGCCACATTCGAGCTCACATCATAGCACGCACATACATGCTGCCGGCCCGACACACATATGCAGGCACGCATTTCGAAGTGACACTTTGAGGGCAAGGACCATTCGCAACACCTGCTTCCTGCGTCGCCTTCAATCAAGATATTAATGCTGTCGGCCTTGCTCAGGATATTTGTGTTTTCTCCGGAGACGGTGTTATGCCTGACAAAAGCAGCCTACATTCGTCCACCAGAGTAAAATTGACATTTTAGCAATCGGCTCTCATCTCGGCTAATATCGTCCAAATGTGCTTGTCAAAGAAAGTGCTTCCCAGACCAACGGAGAACTGGCAATGCGCTTGCAGTGACACTACCAGACCATACTGACACAGTTGGAGACGACGGGAACAGGCAAACAGCCTAAAGTGTTCATTGTCAAATTCTGGGTCGGAATACAAGGAACGGAGCTTCATTATTGCTGTCGACTGTCATGTGCAACAGAAAAGAACTGACAACGAGAAATAGGAGCAGGTGGTATGACTAACGGGCAATTCGATACATTGCTTTGAGATATAGCGTTCGAGATGGCAGAACCGAGATCGACAAATTTGTCCACCGAAGCGAGTCAAGTTTCATTCACCTTGGTGCTGGACGTAGTGTGTTACCTCGCTCGTGCTGGCTGCTGCATGACCAGCGTTCGGGGTGACAGAGGCGAAGATTTCTTTGTTTGGTTACACCTGCGCATCAACCTGGGACAACCTCAATTAAGATTGCCCTCGGGGAGTGCGCCATAGCACGAATCCAATCGAAAAAACTGCTAGCAAGGCAAATTTGCGGACCGCAGGGTTTAGTTGCCTGAGAGCAGTTCCGCAAGCACTCAATGCCTGCCCTCATCATATGCACAATCTAAAGCGGTATTCCAGGCATGATAAGCCTCGCCAAGCATCCACGAGCTACATGCAGTGCCAATACGTACAACCTGCTCGTAGTATACTTTGGGGTAAGGTGATTCCATAACAACAGCACAGGTGGCAGCCATAAAATTCTTTGTCTGAGTTTATAGACCTTAAAAATACTAATCTACTTCAAGTTTGGTGTTAATTTCAAAGGAAGTTTATAAGCAATAATTCATGGGTTAAAAACAGCGCTCCAGCCAACACCACCACCACCACTACAGTACGCTCTAACAACCTACCGACAAACCCATCCAACACGCATCATTCTAGGCCACAGTTGAGGCAAAACCATAGCAGCCTGCGCATGATTTCCGCCAACTCGTAAACCACGCCTCTCTCCGACCACAAACCTGCGACTCACTGCCACTGCATAGTCCCACGTCAGAACATGCACATCTGTCTAATGTCGGAAGCCTATGATTTGTACACGTCCTAGTGCTTGTCGTGCGGAGCAAGCGCACCGTAGAACACGTTAACCTGCCCTCTTTAGATCTCAGGTAACCTCATCGAAACAGACAGAAGTGGAATAACACGTCAGTTTTATTTAAACAATGCCATTTTGAACATCATAACAAATCAGATATTTGGTGTCTAACGGATTGGAGGAAGACAGTTCGGGTAATCGACAACGGGAATTGGAGCGCTGATTCTCACAAATAGTACACCCTCGGGGATTAAACACTGTGATCATGTCGTAGTCAGGTCTGTCGGAAGCCTCACTACAGACACCTCCATCGATGATTCGTCTAGAGCAATTACTTGGAGGCTCATTTGATTGGTGATAATCAGCACCCGATGATCCCAACGTACCGCGACATTAAGTGGACATCTGCAAGTCAGGAAGTCAGTTGAGGCCGATCCGAGTACATGGCCACACCGCCATACACCACCTCAGGATGATTCGCACATGCGTCCGATGGTCGTCTGATATTGGTGGGGGAAGGGTATGTGCACCAAGGTAGGAACCAAAGAGTCAACACATCATCCATTGCCTGATGCGCGCGAAGGAAAAATGAATCAGGCATACTTTGTGAATCCACTCGTCTCCGGTTGCACGTCTCCTAATTCTGCAATTATTTCCTGCCTGATGTCGGGCCACTTGCTGACCAAGTCATACACCACCTGCAAGTACGGAAGACAAATAACAATAAATGCCCCTCAGATTGATGGCAAGCCCTACCTTAAGGAGAAACTTGCAGCTGCCGCAGCAAGATCCTACCTGAACTGATTCATCATCCGTCTGGCCGGAGACAGCTCGGCAAATGAGGATGAAAAGGCGGACTACCTCTTCTTGCGAACGCTGGCGGACCAACTGCCACACCTTGTGCCAGTGTGTGAACAGGTGGTCCAGTGTGGCCAAGTAGGCACCAACTTCACCATGCACTGAAAGCACACCTCCAGTCAGTTGGAAAGACGTGAATCGCTGTGGACATTGGAGGATGGATGTTAGGTACTTGAACCTAAACAACGCACAGACAGCCAGCCATGCACATGCTAGATCGCAACTCACCAGACATGTCACCTCCTCACTGGACTGCAGGACGAGGTCCACAGACATCTCAGGCATGCACAAGTCCGCTTCACCATTTCGTGGCAGTGTTGCCAGCGCTGATCTCCACACCTCTGAAAACGACAACACGCATCACGTCATTTCGAAACAGGCTGTATGCATGATCCTCATTCAATTGAACTACAGTAGCATTAGGAATCATGTAAAAAGCCCCATCTTCTGCTGCAACGGCATAATTATAAGCGTCCGTTTTTGATTAAGGACGAACAGAAGAGTACCGAGTGATGGGAGAAGGCATTGCCAATTGTGAGAAAAACAAGAAAACTGCTCACTATTGACTGCTGACTTCTCGTCAGAAAGCGTCTAGCGTGAAAAGTAAACTCATGTCAGATTAATGACTCACCCATACCCTCCACCAGTCTCGACGGCAGACATTCAACGTAGAGGGTAATCATTGTTGCTAGATGGTAAGGATCTGCGAAGAGTTTGGGGCGGATTCGGACCAGATCGTCAACGGGGTACTGAAATGTGTTAAATGCACGTCAAGGAATATGGCGGAATACAAACGAGCAGGATTTGAACAACAAAGTGTAAAGTCGCCGCGCGAAACTCACCGAGTTAATCAAATTCATTTTTATGCGGAGAGTCGACGAAGTCATCATGTCTGTATATAATGCCGGCCAATCCATTCCGTGCTCCTCGAGCTTCTGTATCAAAACTGCCAGAACGTGTGGGACGCCCTAAATGCAATAATGATTCATCATGTCAGTCTCAAGATCAGCACACATTTGCCAATGGATTACTTGCATTTTTCTGTTTTGTTGAAAAGAAAATGCCTGTTCCATATTGGCAGCAAAGAGTAGGTTATGCAATTGAGGAACGTGTGAATCATACTCACGGGGAGCTGAAGACTTTCCTCCTGCGTCTGAATGGGGGCCCCATATACAGCGCCCAATGGAGGGGCGTAGATTGACATTGCCTCCTCGCTTTCTGCTACTTCATCGCAGATATTGGCGTGAACCTCTTGTTCGTCCGTCTGAAATCCAAGGAAGGCACGATTTGGGCACATTTCTCACACTAGTCGGTAAAACGACTTTGCTTCAGAATGTTTATTGAGAGAAGCGAAAATTCGTAGTTCAAGGAGCAGTTTAGAAGACAGGATAGCGGGCCCGTAGCTCAGTGGTTAGAGGCGTTGGCTTCTAACTAACCTGTCTCAAGTTCGAGTCCCAAGCGTTCCACACTTCAGGGTTGGGTATGACCGGGTGACGACGGCTAAAAAGCCAGAAATGGCATTTCCATTCTGCCAGCATATGATGTCTGGAACGAGAAATTTATGGCGAGACACTTCGAATATCCACGCGAGACAATAAAGATCTTGTGTCAGTGGTCGCATCTTCTTCTTCTTTTTCGGAATTATTTATTAGCAGAATGGAGAACAGCCACATTTGTACGGGAACTGTTCTGTTGCAAAGTGTACATTGCTGCTCTCTGCGAGAGTGGCTTCTCTGAACAGGGACAACTGGAGGAGATAGATACAGTAGACGACTTATCCTCGAGCGGGAGTCAAAGGGCAGCGCAGAGAGATGCTGCAGTTGCTTTCGCATCGGTATCAACGTCGTGCGACCGCTATTATGTCTACTAGAGGGCGTCAATGACTACTTTGTGACCATGGATCCGTCACTGTGAGTAAACTGCCTCAGTGTCCCTCCTTCCAAGT